ACCTCTTCAACAACACGTGAAGCAATTTAGGAAATACAATTATTGCGATGAGCTTGTGTATGTGATTCCAAATAATTTGGAATGCACTAAACTGCTTTCTCTGGAAAATAAGGTACTTTAAATTTTATCTACACAAAGTGTTCCTTCATATTCAATTATTGGTTTGTTTTATATATATATATATATATAGCAATTAGGAAATACCCTTTGTTTTGGTTTTTGAGTTCATTGAACATTCCAACGCTCCACTGCCTTCAATAGAAATTGCTGATGTGCAACATTTAAAAATTGGGTAAACTTCTTTAATGGAACAGTCTCTTTGAAAACTCCATTACAATCGTATATGATATAGCTTAAAGTATTATTTTAAAACTAAGTTCATAGGTGCCCCTTGTAAAGGTAACAAGAAAATTGGTCCAATAAAAGATATCACCCACCAAACTTCTTCTAATGAAGGAGCAATTTTCAATTTTAGGTCGTCAATAAATGAATGGCTCATGAATCAATTGAGAAAGAAAAAAAAGTAAGCTGCTAAAAGTATTTTGTGTATGCCTGTGTGCATGCTTTTCTTTGTAATAAGTTGAAATGAAATGAAAACATACTCTTCCCTTGGGGCAATAATCAATTATACAAGACTTCTTGCTGTTTACATTTGCTTAGAATTATTTCATTTTTATTTGTCCTGTAACAAAGAGGTTTGAGATGGGGCAAGAGGCACATGCCTGCTCATCTGAACACGCCCCATGACCACAAAATGGGGATACAGTAGAATGTAGGGATTACTGCATATATTACTACATTATCTTTCCTAATACAAATGGAAGACCAACTATCTATCTTTATCTATGAAGTCTTTATATTTAAACAAAGGTAGTAAAAAAATCTTTATATTTAAATAAAATAGTAATCTAAAGTAAAACTAGAACAAATAATTTGCCCAACAAGTTCAGTCTCTTTCTGGTCACAAAATATTTGATATCAATTTGCAATTTCATCATGTTAGGAATTTTATTTTTAATTTTTCTTGGCAAGAATCTGACAAATTACTTTGCACATTTTGTTTTTAAATTCCATGGATTGATTGTGGGTAACTTATAAAGGCATCTGATACATGTTATATTCAGATGCCTTGGCTAATGAACCTAGGGCTAGATCTAATTGCATGGTATTATTTCAGCTCCTGAACTGAGAGCACAAATGCAGTATTTCAAGTTCAATACTCATGCAATATTGTCAATATCCAAGGTTCAAAAATCCTGACTCAGCTTCTATAAAATCATGACATTTTAAATTGTATAATTTATTTGCTCTCTAGGTGTTGTATCTGTTTTTCTCGGATTCTTTTACAATCATGAAAAGTGTATATTACAGCTATACTGTCATAAAAAGCCTTATTCCAGTGTATGTATGTGTTAATATATATAAAGCTGTATCCCTTTGCAACACTTACCTGTGGAAAGGGGACAGGCCAGGCAGGGGCAGCCTATATCCTGTCCAGAGAGGCACATGAGGCCTGCACTGGTCCTAAGGAGTGCACAGCTCCAGCAGGCTTCTGAGCAGTGTGCTCCAGGGCACAAAATGGCTGCAGCCTTTCATACCCTGCATCTAGGGGCTGCCAGAGAGCAGCCCAGGCCAACAGCAGGTGAAGGGGCCAACCAGGAGCCTGGCCCGGCCCTGTAGTGGATGGACAGCCCTGGCACTCAAGTTAGTGTCGGGTCATGTCTACATGTACATTACTGTGCATTAACTAATAGTGACGCATTTGCAGTATCACATTTATTCACAATTAGCCATTTTGACTGTGTAGTAAGGGTGTGCATGGGCAGATGCTCTTCAGTACTGCACAGTAAATTAGGCTAATGCACATTAACACATCTCAGGTAGACATGCCCAATGTGTAACATCCTTATAGCTGGTTTCCATCGAGCTTTAATTTAAATGTGTAGCAGGGGCACCTCAACATTGAAAATGCAGCAGTCTAAAAATAAAATATTTTTGTTAATTGTTTGAATAAAACATTTAGATAAAAAGTATTTTAGTACTACAGACTCCAGGCATATCTGGCTTACCTAGTCTTACTGTCCTGTGATGCTAACTGAAGCAGGCCTAAGGACTTTAAATGCACCAGATTATACGTTATCAGAGTCTAGTTTCCCTAAACAACTCCTTCATGCTTTGAGTTCCCCTCTTAATACAACCAGAGGTTTTGTTCTTGTTAAAGCATTTTAGACCTTGTTATAAAAACACATTCTGTATGTGGACAAGAGGGTATGTGGACAAGAATCTAGTAGCTAATATTCAAAATTCACCAGCAGACTCTGTATATGCCTGAAGAAGGGTGTTATGGTTGGAAAGAACATTTTTTTCAACTATTTAGTTGGTCTAATAAAAAAAAAAATCACATCTACCCAAAGAACCTTGCCTGCCTATGTCCTTAGATCAACAGACTACAACCAACAACCCTAGTTCATTTTTTCATAGTTTCTAGGGTCAGAAGGGACCTGAACAGATCATAAGTGTGACCCCCTGCCTTGACATCAAGTCCGAACCCCTGCCCTGGGCAGGAATGAGTGCTGGGATCATAATCCCCCAGCCAGATATCTATCCAACCTCCTCTTGAAGACCCCCGAGTTAGGGGAGAGTACCACCTCTCTAAGGAGCCCATTCCAGAGTCTGGCAGCCCTAACTGTAAAGTACTGCCTCCTGATATCAAGCCTGAACCTGCTGTCAATCAATTTGTGGACCTTATTCCTTGTTATCCAAGGTGGTGCCCGGGGGAACAGAGCCTCACCTAGTTTCCACTGGTGCCCCCTGGTGAGTTTATAGCTGGCCAGCAGATCCCCTCTCAGTCTTCTCTTGTGGAGGCTGAATAGATTCAGGCCGTCTAGTCCATCTTCGTAAGGCCTGGCCTGCTGCCCCCTGACCATGCAAGTGGCCCTCTCCTCTGGACCCTCTCAATGCTAGCTACATCTCTCTTGAAGTATGGCACAAAGAACTGGACACAGTACTCCAACTGAGGCCTGACCAGCACCGCATAGAGGGGAAGGATCACCTCCCTGGGCCTGCTTGTGATGCATTTTTGTCATTTAGCAACCTTTAGACATTTACTGAGGAATGACTGCCTTGAACCAATATTTTTCCGACTGCTTGTTTGTTCCTGGCAATTCCCATATTAAATTTGAATCAATGTTTTCATATAACACGTTGGATAATAAGGAGATCAACATACAATATTCATGAATGACTGCAGAGTATTTTGATGGAGTTGTAATCAGCTTTTGCATTATATTTTTGTAGAGTAGGATTTTTTGTTTGTTTGTTTGTTTTGCCTCTATAGAATTAGGGCAAGTTACACTTATGTAAGGATTGTCAGTTAGAAGTAAAAAAAAATTCCTAGGACTAGCAGGTCCTTATCTGATGTCTGTCAAAGCTCTATTGACTTTAGTTTAAACTTTCATGATTCATCTGTTTTTTACAATCTACAGGGGTTTTTTTTAATATCAAATTTTAAAATTATTGGGAGGAAAAAAGGGAGCACATCTTCCATGATGATTTTCCCATTTCCTATTTATTCCTAGCTTCACAGACTGTAAGAAAAAAAGGAACCACTGAAAGATCATCTGGTCTGACCTACTGTATAACATAGGACATAAAAGTTCAGCCAGTTAATCCTATATCCAGTTCAACATTCTTTTCCTCATTATTCCAAATAATATTTTTGCCCTTCTATTTGTCTAAAACCAAAAACAAATCAGAGGTAGAGGTAATATGTTTGTAGAATGGTTTAAATGTCAATTTCTGCTTTAGTGTTTGTCCCTAGTATTTAAGACCATAGCACTAAATCAAATCAGATGTGTTTTTTGGATGATTTCATACTATCCCTTTGACCCTGGAAGCATGATATCCTTTGCCTCCCTCCGCCACTCCCTGTCCTCTGGTTCCTGCAACATAAACATCACCAAAACTTTAAATGAAATATGTATGTATAAAAGGATTCATGTTTGGTGAGGAGGAGGGCAAATTGCAGGACAAAGTGGAGGAAAAAGTTGTATTCTATGTTTTTATGGATATGGCCATAAGAAAAAAATTATTAGTGAAAATACTTATATCCCATAGGTCTGGCTAGTAGAGAATTCTAAAAGTGATAATTCACCAATCTGGGAACATACTGACTGAAACACAGGTTATCACTGAAGTGAAAAACAAAGGCAGCTAGCATTAATAATTAATTGAGGAAGGTTCCCTGTGGAGGTTTAGATGAGCTACAGACACTGTGAAGTCACTTGACTATCAGATTGTTATATTCTATTTCAGAGAAGCACATATTAGCATGTATCCCTTTATAGTAAATATGCCCAGTCTAGATCACCTGAAAGGAAGAACAGGAGAAGAACTGTAGCTCCTAAGAAGAGATGTTCAGATTGTTACTGCCACATCCCTCCAACTCAAGTGTAATCTCACACATGGTAATGACTTTCCTTCAGCTGTAGAACACCTTTTGTTCTCACCTTCTCTGAATGTTTTAATAAACACTATATTCACACCGGTCTCTCTTGCCACCACCACAAATTGTATATAAACTAAATTGTCTCATTAACTAGTTGTCTGAGTAAAGGGTTTTGGAGCATTTTGAAGCTCCATTGCCCCAGAAAAAGTTGTAGAAGGATAGATCCAAACTCTGAACTCCAGAAGGTGAATGGGAATGGGGTCCTTGATAGCCAGTCCATCTATACTATGACATTCACAACTTTGCTATTAACATAAATATTGTATTGGGGGTGTAGGTTGTAGCTGTGTTGGTGTAATATTGTATTGAGCTTTTATGTTAAGAATCTTTTAGAGTTCTTGTGCTTTAAAGATGTCACCTCCCCCTTTACATAAAGAGTTCTTTAGTAGTAGATTTTAAGTGCATGAAGACTGGATTTTTCCTTTGAATTGCCTATTGTATTGTCGTCAGATCTTTTTAATTTTCCAAATAATTTTGTCTTCTGTCTCATTAGGCCGAGCTTTAATGAAGAAGCATCAGCGCTGCTAACATTCACACAAATTGGGGTTCAAGACCTTTGTGACCAATGATGAAGTCGTCATGGAAACTGTTTATGTTTCTGTCACTTGCTGGGTATCTTTCAGGTAAAAAAAATATATAGTTAAGAAATTCTAAGTGCGAAATAGAAGTGGCATGATAAAAGTAAAATTACCCCAAAGAAAAATGAACAAATAAACTATGCATTAATTAGCATTAACCTAAAAACTATTAATAGTATTAGCCTATGCATTAAACTAGTAAAATTATGTATTAAGAAATTTAAGTGCCATCCACTTGCCACTAAACTTAAGTAAATCTGCTTCATTAAATTGTAGAGAAAAATGAGAGATCTAGTCACTTCTATATTTACAAAAGGCTATACTAACTTCAAAGACTGCATGAAAAAGGAAAAAGAATGAGTTAATTAGCAGAGCATGCTCCCAGGGCTAATAACTCCAAAATGTTTGTTAATTTTTGGATTGTGAAACTCTCAAAGTCTTAACATGTTCTGTTTCTGGAAACTAATTTTGGAGGTGGATTTTTCTATCTAGACTATGCATGTTATATTGATATGTGTTAATGATTCTGATTTTGCTGGTAACGATGTTTCTCTTGCAGCTTTGTTTTTTTTTTTTACTTGAGATGAATCAATGTTATTCTAAAAGCAAACAAGCTGGGTTGCTTTATACTTTGTTATCTTTTAGCTCTTATAATATAATAATGACCTGCCTAGGATTGACTGATTTTTAATTTCTCCTCAACTTGGCTTCTTTTTACATCTCAGTAGCCTACAGTGATATGGTTTTAAAGATTTTTTTTTTTGGTTTTGTTTTCAGTTATGCAAAGCAGTCATGAAGTTTAACTATTGTGGGTTGGTCTTTTCTCAGGAGTAAAGCTTCCTTACATGAGTCCCCACTGATATTAGGATCAGACCCTATATCCTGATACTAATAAGAACTATATAACTCTACAAAAGTATAATAATCTAAATGTTACATTCACTTTTCCTGCCACTTCTGTCTTCCTGTCTTTCTAAATGTACCAGTTCACCAAGTCACTCACTTCATATGCAAGCATTATTACTTCATAATACCCATAAAATGTTAGTTAAAAATAAGCAAGAACAAAATAAAATGAATATATGCATTCAAGTATCACAATTAAGGGCACAATGCAGGTCCCTAAGAATATCTGTGCGTGTGTGTGCATATGCATGCATGTGTAAAAATGCCATTTCCTCCTCTTTCTTGTACAGTGTACATTTCTTAGCTCTGCCTCTCAGATTGCAAGCCCCTTAAAACAAGCAGCTGTCTTTTATTTTTGAATCTGTACAGCACGAAGAACATTAATAATGTTAGAAAATAAAACTTGTTATCCAATGATTCTATAAGAGTAGCTGTGAAAGGAGCAAGCAGGGTCCATAGATAGTTTATTTTTTATTCCTTTTTGAGAGGCGTATGTTAGATTAGATTAGATTAAGGATTTTAAATCATTTTAAAATATAAGAAATGACAAATGTTGCTTAAGCATTAAAAAAAAAAGTCTTGATTGGAGTTTAAAATACTAAATACTATTACTTTTATCCACAGAGCACCCAAACCCTGAAAACACTTACTAATCACCCAGGCATTATATTTAATATGTAATGCCTATCTCATGTTTTAATTAATTATTTATTCCCATCAGTTATTCGGACTATTCCTGTACTTAACCTATTAACTATTAGGTATAGCTCAAATCTGTTATGATTCTGGGTTGTTCATCTACTGTGTTGTCAGGTTAGGGTTGTGTAAAGAAATATTTTTTTTAAATGTTAAAACTAGTTTTTTTATACGTTATTATAAAGATCCTGGAGCAACACCTTAGTTTCTCACAAATGCATAATTGTCACACTGTCTGCAGTGTCTTAAACAGGTTCTCATGAGATAATATAAAACTATGAGGGCTGAATTTAATCTAAGATAACAGAAGTGGATTAAAATTTGTTAAAATCAGATTGTCAAGGTGTAACATTCATATTGTCAAGGTATAATTCGAATAGTGCACAATCTCTGTTCCTTTGGTTATCTGATCACATCATTCTGACCTTATAGTACTGTTTGCATTATTCCTGGCTACATAGTCTCACCTTTAAAAACTAGTTGTGGATGCTAAAATAAAGGTAGTTCAGTTCCTGTGTTATGCTGTGTGGGAAGTCAGAAAAAAAACAAGAATAGCATCAGATCCTTGCTAAACCAAATGAGGCAGCTGACAACCGACACACAGAAACAAGCTAATCTCCTCAACAATTACTTTGTGGTGGTTTTCTACCAGCCCAAGGGGATCACTTTGCCTGACAGGATACAGGACTACCAGGGTAAGGGCAATTATACACCTCTAATTGGCAAAGATCTGGTGAGGGAACAGCTTGAGAGGCTGGACATCCACAAGTCAGCTGATCCGGATGAATGCACCCAAGAGTGCTAAAAAAGTTGGCTGACATCATAGCACAACCAATAGTGAGGATATTTGAGAACTTGTGGCACTTGGGAGAGGTTTCTGAAGTTTGGAAGAGGACCAGTGTGGTGCTTATCTTCAAGGAAGGAAGATCCAGGGAACTACAGGCCAATCAGCTTGACCTCAATCTCTGGAAAGATCTGGGGAAAAAAATAATCAAAGAAACCATCAACAACAGGCTAATGGAAGCAATGTTCTGAGAGATGGCCACCATGGCTTCATTGCAGGTAGGTCTTGCCTGACCAACCTCATTCCCTTCTATGACCAAGTGACACATCACCTGGACACAGGAGAAGAGGTAGATGTCATATATTTAGATTTCAAAAAAGCCTTTGACTTGGTCTCCCATGATGTCCTCATGGTAAAACTGGGAAACTGCAGCCTTGACAACCTTATGGTCCTATGACTGGGGAACTGGCTCCATGACCCAGAGAGTGATAGTCGATGGAAGTAAGTCAACATGGCACATGGTGACCAGTGGCATCCCCCAGGGCTTAGTACTCAGACCAGTACTCTTTAATATATTTATAAATGATCTGGATTCGGTTGGCAGAAACAGACTGGCTAAATTCACAGACTATACCAAATTATGGCGAAGTGTGGTCATGATAGAGGATAGACTGGCAATTCAGACCGACCTGGACAGGCTTTCAAGGTGGGCAGAACAAAACCTGATGGCAATCAACATGGAGAAATGAAAGGTGCTCCACTTAGGGAGAAAAAAGCCATATCATACTTATAGGCTCAGCAGTGCTACATTCACTAGCACCATGACTGAAAGAGACTTGGGGGTCATGACTGACCACAAGATGATACACGAGCCACCAATATGATGCCACAGCTGACAAAGCAAATAAAACTCTGCCTTTCATCTGCTAATGCATCTCAAGCAAAACCCAGGAAGTCATCGCCCTGCTTTACTCTGCCTTGGTGAAGCCATAGCTGGAGTACTGCATCCAGTTCTGGGCACGACACTTTAGAAAGGATGTGGAGAAGTTTGAGATAGTCTAGAGGAGAGTCACGTGCATGAGTAGAGGTCAAGAGAATAGATCTTATGAGGAGAGGCTGAGAGGCATGGGACTGTTCAACAAGTTCACATGAGGTTTTAAGTCTAAGTTGAAATTGTTGAATCCATGAAGCCAATTAATTGGATAAACTATATATTGTAATTATTTCATTATCAGACATAATGGGAAGAGTACATTGATGGTCCCTAGTCAATATATGGAAAAGATACAGATACAGATGAGGTAGGAGATTTGTAGATCACTGGGCAGTAGCCAGGTGTTATGAATTTCATTCTACCATAAGAGTGATGATTGACTATTTTGGTTTCTTTTATCATGGAAGATGATTCCTTTCAAACCAAATTAGAGGTGCGGAAGGGTTAAGCTACTAGTTTTCACTTGCCTTACCAGCTGAATGTAAACTACAAGAAAAGTACAAACCCTTCTCTTTGTGAGGATTTCCATTGGGGAAATATTTTTTGACTGTAGGAGAATGAAAAATTAAAGGGGAAGTTCAGGAAGCTTTTGAATAGGCTAGGGCCATGGACAGGCATCCATTTCTACTATGAATTTCTGTCATTGAAATTCATACCTGTAGAAAAATAGCCTTGGAGCAGGAGTGTACATGAGTTCCAGCCCCTTGGCTGGAGAACTACGTGGGTGAGCTCTTCAGCCACAGAACATTAGAGGGCTGCTCCCTGGACCACCCTTGCCCTTAGTGGAGCCCATTATTTGACAGCCTGTCCTCTCCCCTGTCTGGGACGGGGACAGGCCATCAATAGGCAACCCCTTGGCTTTTAAATTGCCATGTGTACAGCTCAGACCAGATGGACTGTACACAGGGTGATTTAAAGCTGGAGACATGGGGAACTGAGATTGGGGACATTTTCCCACCCCTTGTTCCCCACTACACAGAAACTCTCCCTGCTTTGGTAACTGGCCCCATGAGCTATGAAATCATAGAATCATAGAAAGTTAGGGCTGGAAGGGACATCAGGAGGTCTAGTCCAACCCCCAGCTCAAAGCAGGACCATCCCCAACTAGATCATCCCAACCAAAGCTTTGTCCTACTGGGTTTTGAAAGCTTCCAAGAATGGAGCTTCTACCACCTGTTCCAGTGTTTTACTACCCTCCTAGTAATAAAATTCTGCCCAATATCTAACCAAGCTTCCCTTGTGACAACTTGAGACTCCTTGTTCTGTTATAACAGTCTGTGTAATCTGCTGCATATTTATTTCTCAACATGTGCCATCCAGCCAGGTGGCAAAGGTGGCATGTAAATCCTGTAGGGCCAGAAACTGGCCTCAGTTCCTGGTCCCTCTCTCAGCTTTGAGATCATCAGACTGGTCCAGGAGGGGACTGAGGCAGTGAAGCAAAGCTCCTCAGACTGGATACCCTGTTCTGGAAACCAGGTGGGGGGCTTTTCCCATCTGCTCCTGTCCCCTCAGGGACCAGGCAGGGAGGGGACTGAAACAGTGAGGTAACTCACCACAGCAGGGCTGTGTCCAATCTGGAGAAGAATGGAGGCAATTGGCCTGCTGCTCCACTCTCCTCCCAGCCCAGATGGGAGGGGAGCGTATAGGCATTCATTTGTACAAGAA